AGGGCAGCCTGCACGAGGAGATCTGGCTGCGTCGCCCACCTGGCTTCACTGGGTCTTTTCCTCCTGGCACCCAGTGGAGCCTCCGGCGGCCAGTCTACGGTCTCCGCCAGGCACCGCGTGAGTGGCACGACACACTGAGGACTACACTTGCGGCTCTTGGGTTTGCTCCCTCTACTGCCGACCCGTCGCTGTTTCTGCGCACCGACACTTCTTTGCCGCCGTTCTACATCCTCGTGTACGTCGACGACTTGGTCTTTGCCACAGCTGACACTGCTGGACTCGCCCACGTGAAGTCCGAGCTGCAGAAGAGACACACGTGCACAGACCTGGGTGAACTGCGCAGCTACCTTGGCTTGCAGATCACCCGGGACAGAGCACGCCGCACCATTACCCTGACTCAGTCACACATGGTGCAGCAGGTCCTTCAGCGCTTCGGCTTCACGTACTCCTTGCCTCAGGCCAATCCTCTGCCTACTCGCCACTCGCTCTCAGCTCTGCCTTCGGATGAGTCCGTAGAGTCGAGTGGCCCGTACCCAGAGCTTGTTGGCTGCCTCATGTACCTGATGACCTGCACACGACCTGACCTCGCATACCCTCTTAGCATTCTCGCACGCTATGTTGCTCATGGGAGACACAGACCGGAGCACATGGCTGCAGCGAAGAGGGTGTTGCGTTACTTGTGCAGTACGTCGGGCATGGGGCTTGTGCTTGGAGGGCAGAGTCCAGTGGTCCTCACTGGGCACGCAGACGCTTCTTGGGCTGACGACCAGGCTACGCAGCGGTCGTCACAGGGTTACACCTTCAGCCTTGGTTCCGGCTCTGTTTCGTGGCGGGCTACCCGCTCGTCTTCTGTTCTCGGCTCCAGTTGTGAGGCTGAGATCTACGCCGGGGCCATGGCTGCACAGGAGCTTCGCTGGCTCACCTACCTGCTGACTGACCTCGGAGAGCCGCCTCGTTCTCCTCCAGTGCTGTACGTAGACAACAAGGCCATGCTGGCCTTGTGTCGAGAGCAGAGACTGGAGCACAGAACGAAGCACATTGCTCTCCGCTACTTCCTTGCTCGTGAGCTACAGCAGCGTGGTCAGCTGCGGCTTGCGTACGTGGCCTCTCAGGCCAACACTGCTGATATCTTCACCAAGGCACTTGCGCCTTGTGATCATCAGCGCTTCTGTACTCAGCTGGGTCTTGTGCCTACCTTGCCTCACTTGCTCACCCCTTGACCTTGTTTGTACTGTTGCATATATATATACACCTGCTCTTGCTTGTCTAGCCTTATATATATATGTAATCCTGCATGTGAACTGGCCTTGTGGCCTTGAACTTGTGCTCGGAATGTGTGGTGACTTTGTGATCCACCCTGAGCTTGCTTTGCTTTGCTTGACTGGTCTTGTGACCCCTTGTTCTCCCCCACTTTGCCTATGGGGGTGTGTCAGATTTATATGACATAGCTACTGTAGGCTATAGTGGGGTAGCACATATGGGGTACAGTTTTTTAGGGTTTACATTTGTACCCAACTTTCCCTTAGTCAATTCATTCTCGTTCAGTTTCTCACAGGTGCCAGGTAGAGCACGTGCCGACGGTTTCGCCAGCGATGCTCCGTCGAGCACGTCATGCCGTTCCGCAGGTTGACTTCGCGAAAACCTCATGGGCGACATTCGCCCATATGACGAATTTCGTAGTCGCGTGACTTTCGTAGAGTAGCTCGACGAATGCTCCGTCGAGAAGCTTTCGCCTAGACGAGCCCTCTACCAGCCTCGTCGAGGAGCTCCTATACCGGCCTTGTAGAGGAGCTCCTATACCGACCTCGTCGAGGAGCCCTTATACTAAGAAGGTCCCGTCGAACCGAACTCCTCGACGGACTCGTCGACCAGCGTCCTCTGCGAGCCCGTCGACCAGCGTCCTACACGAGCTCGTCGACCGCGTCCTCTGCGAGCTCGTCGACCAGCGTCCTCTGCGGACGCGTCAAGGTCGAACTATACGGACAGGTCGAGGTCGAACTCTGCGGGTCGGTAGAAGCCGAATTCTACAGACACATTGAGGTTGCTTTCTGCGCGCAGTCTACGTTGACTTCTGCACGCCCCCAACTGCGAATTCTGCTTCGTCCAAGCGAGGGCGGGGCCATTTCCCATCAACATTTGCTGTGTCCCTGTTTGGGCTACTTGAGTGTGGGGTTGTTTGCTCTCTAGGGTTTTGGTGTAGTGTTCCCTAACCTAGCGCCTCCCTCCCCCCTCCGTCTCACCTCCCAGGCAAGAGCAATTTTTGAAAGGCGGGGTAAAGGAGGTAAAATTTGCCAGCGGAAGAAGGTGGGAAGGGGAAATAGGCAGCTTCCTACGACCTCATATCCACGAGGGTGAATGGCTGTTGTGTTGCCATTAACTTTGTTTACGTTCGGAGGGTAAATAGGAGGCTCGGATCCATTTTCCGGGCTGACCGTCCTTTTGAACCAAAAAACGCAGTTGGGGGAAGGTTCCTACACATAGTCCGCGGTATTTTAACCGCTGCTATCTTAACCACGCGGGGGTACTACTCCGTGGTCAAGATCGAATACAAGGGTAGTTTAACCAATTTATGAGGGTATATTTACGCGTCCCCTTCGCGAGGTCACGTCAGTTGTAACTCTTATGATGGCAATGCGCCCCCTATCTCGGAGCACTAAGTGTGGGTTTTCCAAAATAAAAGTGTCCCGGCTGTGTTCTAATAGTCCCGAAGTCTCTGGGTGCCCATCCCATCGGAAATGCACACAGGATGTTTTAAATAAAGTTCACGTGGTTAAAATACCGCGGACTAGGTGTATTTACCGCCCCCCCCCCTTTTGTCGTGCCTACAGAACGCAGCCAATGGCTTGACTTCACAACTGCTGAAATGCGTTGATGACGTCGAACGAAAACTGTATTGAACGACCCTTGGAGGTTTCATGAGCCATCTTGTAGCAGGTCATCATCTGTGTGGACGATGTGTTGATGCATCTGACGTCAATTCCAAGTCACCACGGAGCACACTTCGCTTTTCGCCACTCTCAGCCATTCAAATAACCTCGAGGGACAGCCAGTTGGCAATTGTACCGAGCGAGTTATCGAGGCCGCCCTGTTTCTCAACCAATCAAAACGCTCTCCGTAAATGATGATCAGATAGGAGTTTCGAGGCGGCTTGGGGGTTGTGTGGATGAAGAGGAGTTGCCAACCTGAGTTCAGCAGATGGAGCAGTTTGCGTAAACATGAAAAACTTCCGAGTCCCGGGGGGTTATTCCCGAACACCCTGATCTTGTAGACCCTCAATTGGAGCCACAGGTTTTGTCTTGCTTAGGACTGAAACGAGCGAGCGTGGGCTTGGTTTGGGTCGAGGTGAGACTCGACTCACTTGGAAGCAAAAGCGTCTTGGATTACGTGTATTGTGATGGTTTCCGCTGAATTATACCGTGCTGTATATAGGCTACCTTGCACGCAATTGGAACCAAGGTGGTCGCAATCCAGGGAGGCGGAACGCTGTGAGGTCTCACCCAGCTCAGGTCCTAGGTGCTTCAGTCAATTCAAACTAGGGTCTTCGGGTAACTAGGACACCCGCCAGTCTCGATTGTGGATTGGGGAGGTTACCTCGAATTGCTCTCTTCGAGGTTTTCCTCCTGCATTTCTCGCCACTCGGCTGAGGGTAGGAATTTCTGACCTGGACTGAAGGCAGGCAACCTCGTCTGTTGTGTTCGCGCGAACTAATGTTCAACCACCCCAACATTCTGTTCCTCCCTGCTCCGCTGCGTTCGTGATTGAAGTTATTTGCTATCAGAGTCTGGCGAGCGTGAACAATCACTGGCCTTAGTCGCACTCCATCATGCAATGATCTTTGTGCAACAGCCATGGAACCCCACGGATTGTTCAGGCTGTGCTTACGAGTACTCTCGGTTTTCTCCCTCCATTCAGCACCCCACCCACTCGTTCTAAGCATTCTCATAATCTGCAGAGTCTGGATAGCCTTTGGAAGTGATTTGGGCAATTCGAAGTCGCATTTACCTCTGGAAGCGCGTTCCGTGCTGACATCAGCACTCCTAGACATCGCGTCAGATGTCGCGACGTTCGCACTCTTCCGGATCGCCGTCATTATAAGCACGCTTCTCCACGAGTGGAGTCACCTCGTCGTTGCCTCCATCGTCACCTCGCGGCGCCAATCCGAAGGCCCGAACCGCGAACCCTCGCGAAACCCACCATTATCCCGTTCAATTGACGCCGCGCCGGCCAACCGCAGGTGTCATGACGGGAAGCTCACGCGGCGCGGCAGCTGCCAGCGATCGCAAGATGGCGTCGCCATGGGAAGATCACCCGCCGGCGACGGGGATCATGCAACGGAAGGGCCGGCGGCGCAGTCGCCGGCGATTTGGAGCGGCGAGAACATGCGAGGGAACGTGAGCAGAAGCGACTGGCTCGTATCGCTGTGCCCGAACGTGCCACTTCCTAGAACCTTCGCACCGCACGTCGTCATCCCGGAGCTCCTTACCCCGTCCTCCACGTCAGCTCACGGGGCGCCGTCTCTCTCCGTGAATAACGGAGACACAGTCAGCGAACAAATCTCCGCGCGACGAGACCTTTCCAGCGAGCAAGCGACGCCGGTCTGTCGCACATTCACAAAAGCGTCGCTGAAGTGCGCATCGCCCGCGTCGCTCTGCCAGTCGTCGTCCGTCGAGGCGGCGATCATTCGCCACGCGGGATGGGTCTTCAGCGTCTTTCTAAGCGCGCTCGCGTGGATCGCGCTGTTTCTTCGATCCCGCTCCACAGAGTCTTCCGCAGCGCCAGATGCGCCTGCAGCCGCAAGCAGCGGCGCCGCGTGGTTGGTTGACGTGGCGCTAGGAGTGTCGGTGTGCGCCGTCTCGTCTCTCGCCTCCGACGCGCTCTGCCTTCGCCCATTTTCCTACCCCGCGGATAATCGCGTGGACTGCCGTCTACATGCGGCCGCCGGCGGCGGCGGCGGTCCACAGGTGGTGTGGCGCTTTTTCTGCGGCAATTTCGGCATAATCATGGCGCAATCAGGCTCGGCGCTGCAGTGAGTGCTGTTTTGCGCGCCGTGCTGCGCGCTGCCGCCATGTGCGCACCAATTCGCCCGCATTTGCGCCGAATTTTCTCTTACCTCTCACACCATCCCCTCGTGCACCTTTTTTTTACTGTTGTTTTTTTTTTCTTTCTTAATTTCATTTCCCGCCACCCTTCCCCTCTCCCCTCCCCATGCCGATATTTTCCTCCTGTCCGCTCAAAACTCTCTATACCTCCCACCTAACCCCTTTCATCTTAAATCTCTTTCTTACCCAAACCCCTTCTCATCCCCCCGTTCCCCCCCTCCTCCCTCCCCCCCCTCTTCCCCACCCCTCCCTCCCTCTCCTCGTTTCCCCCCCCGTCTCTTCCCCCCACACCCCTCCCCGCCCCGCGTTTCTCCCTCTCCCCCCAGCGCATGGGGGCGCGAGCGCGCGGTGGATGCGCTGGGCGTGCTGGAGCGCATGGCGGCCATCTCGTCGGAGCGCGGGGGGCAGTCGGGCGGAGTGGTGACGTTCGTGCGCACCTGGCGCGACGATATGGCGGGCGTGCGCGTGCGCGCCAAGCCCGCCAAGCGCCAGTCGCTCTCGCACCAGGTCCGCCCGCAAGGGGGAAGGGGCGGGGAGAGGGTATGGGAAGGGCAGGATGTGGGAAGAACGGATTGTGGGGAGATTGGGAAAATAGGATGGGGGAATGGCAAGGAGGGGGTGACGAGGGGGGCAAGGTAGGAGTGGGTTGGGGCTGGTATTTGGAAGACACGCAATTGTTGACCCGGAGAAACAATTGAAAAGCATTAAGCGTGGGATGAAGGGCAAGAACTGTCCGTCCGTTGAACATTAATATTCTGGGTTGAAGAGCAAGAATTGGAATCGCACAATGACGTTTTGCCTGCATCTCGTACCTACTCCCTACTACTATGGACATTACGTCGAGTCCTCCTCAGGGGCCTCACCGCACTGCACGACACTAAACAACATACATCCCATATCACCTCACAGCCCCCACTCAATCTCATCTCTCTCACCTCACCTCCTCATTTCTGTGCGTCGTTGCCCCATGCGTGCCCTGCACCACACTACACCACACCACACCACACCGCACAGCTCATCTCCAAGTTCCGCGCTGCAATCTTCCTCAACAGCCTCTCCGACTCCCTCTCCTTCTTCCTCGCCCTCCTCGTCCGCCCCTTCACCTACCTCCTGCAAGCCCTCCGCCTCTCCCCACCACCTCAAGTTGCTCCCAGCCAGTCAGCAGCAGCAGCAGCGCGAGAGGGTAGCACGGGGAAAGCAGGTGACGACAGTGCGTCCTCTGTGCACGTGTTTCTGGGGCACACGCGCTTTGCCACGTCTAGTGTGCCGTCTGTGGGGGAGACCCACCCACACCAGTGGGTGCCGGAGAGGCGCCTGCCCCTGTGGCGCGTGCATGCTGCCACGGGCGCTATCACCTGCGCGCCCACCAACGTGGGCGTGTATGTGACTCACAACGGCGACTTCGAGTTCTGGAACCTCTTTGGCAGGTCAGTGGGGAACAGTGGAGAAGAGTAGGGGAGAGGGGTAGGGTAGAGCAGAGGAGCAGAGTAGGGCAGAGAGGCAGAGAAGAGCAGAGAGGCAGAGAAGGGCAGAGTTGATAAGTCTCTGCGTGCACTGCACTGCGAGGTTCCTCTTGGTGCATGTGTGCCAGGCTGTGAAATCCAGAGGGTGTGAACAGTGACGCACACTTGCAGTGCATTGATACTCTATGATGGAGACACTCAGAGTGACACAAACGCTGCGAGCAACGAATTGGCGCCAAGCAGTGAACGAACGTCAGGCAAGAATCCACCTCGTGTGTCTGCTGTGTGCCGTGCTGTGATGCGATATGGTGTGGCGTGGTGTGGCATGGTCTGATGTGATGTGTGGCACGATGCCTATCCGTCCCCCCTAACAGGGACCGCACGCATTCGGAGATGGGGCCGTGGCTGGAGGTGGTGTTGGAGCGCGACCAGCCAGCGCAGTGCGACAGTGTCATGATCGCAGGCCTCATGGACCTCCTCCGCACCCACGCCCTCTGGTTGCCCTCCATCCGCCTCGCCTTCCACCAGGTCAGCGCTCCTCCTTCCCCCACACTCTTCTCCCCCCTTCCCCCGTCCCGAACCCCCATCCCTCCCTCCCCCCCCCCCCCCCCCCTTCCCCCTCCTCTTCCTCCCCCGACTCCCTTCCCACGCCAGCCACCTCTGTGGGCCTCCAAGGGTTAAGTAACATAACCCTCCTGCTCTAGTAACCAAGCCGAATGGAAACAGGTTGTCCACCGGAGGTTTGGCAGTGACAACTGCCCTCTGGTAGAGTGGGATTAGACAAATTGCACCCCTACCCACAGAGGCCACTCAATTCAAGAGCTCGTAACTGGTACATTCTGGAATTTTATCCCAATACCCAGTCACTCTCCCTTCTCCCTCCCTCCCATGCACCTCCATGCACCTCTCTCCACCACTTCTAGCCGCTCAGAACACGGATCCGTGTCCTTTCCCCGTTCCCCTTCTCCCGCACCTAGCACGGACCGTGTGGGTGGTGTGCTGCCTGTATATAGGAGATAATCTCTCTTGCTCGCTCCTCCCCTTGCGCTATTATCGAGACACCTCAATCTTGAAGCGTTTTCAAATCAGACGAGTTGTGAGGCGCCTTACAACGAGACAATGTCCGAGGCGCTTTAAACACCCTCCCCCCCCCCCAAACACCCAGACCGCGGTGATGTCATACCAGGAGCTGCTCTTGCCTGAACAACCCTCTCTCTCCCCCCTCCCACCCCCCCGACCCCCCTCCCCGCCCACCCCCCGCCCCTCACACCGCACCCTCAGACGGTGGTGATGTCGTACGAGGAGGTGCTGTCGCCCCAGGCGTCGCACCCCCTGCCATGCCTTGCGGACCTTGCCCCCGTGGCTGCAGCAGCAGAGCGCGCCATGGCGCATGTGGTGCAGGGCATGCAGGGCATGGGTGCGGTGGGGGGAGGTGCTGCTGCTGCTGCCAAGCCTGCCCCACGTGGTTCAGCAGGCAAGCGGGCGCTGGTTGGTTGGATTGATGCACATGGATGCGTATCGAAACGCATGTCACATGCATCACATCACATCACATCACATCACATCACATCACATCACATCACATCACATCACATCACATCACATCACATCACATCACATCACATCACATCACATCACATCACATCACACACCATAAAACACTATCAACACGAGAGTTTTCGTTCCTCTTTTGGTTTTGTTGGGCGGATACTATACAAGCAGTAGGAGAGGGCGTATAGTTGCAGCGTCGATGTGTGTGAAAGGCTTTCAGTGAGGCCAACCGGAAGGCCCACCTCCCCACGTGCTCGTGCACCCGAACTCATCAACCCCCTTCCACGCTCTCATGCTTACCTGAACCTCACAAAATACCCTTCCTTCCCTGTCTCCCTCTGACCTGTCCCCATGCCACCCCTTTCCCCTGTACCAACCTTTCCCCGCTTTCCCCCCACCAGTGACAGCACTGCGGGCAGCTATGGCAGGGAGAGAGGCGCTTCTAGAGGACGCCATCCTCGCCGCCCTGCACTCCTTTTCCCTTCCTCTCTCACCACGAACCTGCCACCGCCCCTTCGCATCTCCCTCCCCTGATCCCCCCCACCAGTGACAGCACTGCGAGCAGCCATGGCAGGGAGAGAGGCGCTTCTAGTGGACGCCATCCTCGCTGCCCTGCACTCCCGCCCCCTGCCCCGCGCAACCGCCTCCCCTGCTGCTGCTGCTGCTGGCGGTGACAGCGACAGTGTAGCAGTGACTGTGGGTGCAGCTGTGGTGGAGGGTGAGGGCGAGGGCGAGGAGCTTTCAGAGGAGCCATCACTGCTGGGGAACGGCGGGGATGCGCAGGGGAGGGAGCAGCAGGAGCAGCAGCAGGGGGAGGCGCAGCAGAATGAAGGGGGAGAGCTGCCGGAGTGTCTGTCAGGGCTGTCAGCGGCGCTGCTGCAGGTGTTTGTGCGGCAGGCGGTGGCCAACTTCCTGGACAATGATCTCTACTGGGCCGCCAAGAAGTTCCTTGAAAACGCCAAGGTGGGCTCTTCAAGGTAACGCCAAGGTAGCAGTGGGCGTGCTTTCAGTTGAGTGCAAGCACTTATGGGTTGCTGAGATGAGAAGCTTTTTGAGAATACCAAGGTGGGCTACACCTAAGCTGCTTCCTCAGGGTTGAAGGTTTTGGGTTTCGGGTTTACAGGTAAACGTACATGCACGTGTACTTCACGTGTGTGCTACCCGTTTTGATGGAACGATCCAACTTAAGGCCATAGCACATGTGGCAGCAGCAGTGGGTGTATGTATGGAATCTGCAGCACTGGGAGTAAGATTCACTTGGGGAGTGTAGCAAGTCTGTCTTTATGATGATAAGTCCTCTATGCTTTGGAAGAGGACCATTGGGGTCGTGGACGTGTGGGGAAGGACTGCTGCACGTGCGCCTGCATGCATGCGCCTTTGTATGTGCGTTTGCATGTGTTCTGCCCAACGTGCAAGTACCCTCTTTCATCAGCACACTGGTAGCAGCCATCCGCTAGAAACCCAATCCTCTCCCCCCGTCCCTCCCAGGGTTCGTTCGGCATGACAACGGCATGCACGGCAGACTGTGACCGCGTGGTGCTGACAGCCGAGCTGACTTTCAAGTTGACTCAAAAGTCGCTTCTTCTCCCCCCTCCCCCCTACTCTTCCCCTCGCCCCTTCTCTTCCCCTCCCCCCTTCCCTTTTCCCTCCCCCTCTTCCCCTTTCAGGGTTCGTTCGGCATGACAACGGCATGCACAGCAGACTGCGATCGAGTGGTGCTGGCAGCACGCAACCAGCCACTGGCCCTGGGCTTCGCCCCCCACTCGCGCACCGTGCTCTTCTCCTCCGAGTCCCACTCCCTCCTCACTCCCCTCTCACCCGCCCCTGCTCCTGCTGCTGCTGGAAGGGGAGCGGCAGGGGGCGGCAGCAGTGGGAGGAGGATAGCATACCGTGTGGACCTGGATGAGTCTGAAGGGGAGGTGATGGAGGTGGTTATGCGAGGACAGGGGAACATGGGGGGTGCGCATGGCACGGGTGGTGGAAGCAGGGGAGGCGCTGCCAATGGTGAGGCAGCGAAGGGGGAGAACGGATTGGCTGACGGGACTGCGAATGGGGCGGGCAGGGAGCAGGAGGAGGAGCAGGGGGGGTGTATGGAGCTGCCAGAGTTGGCGTTCGTGGGGGTGAAGCTGTACAGCATCAAGCACAACAAGCCCGTCACCACAGTACGCACTCACATGCGCTTCTCACTCACATGCGGTTCTCACTCACATGCGCTTCTCACTCACATGCGCTTCTCACTCACATGCGCTTCTCACTCACATGCGCTTCTCACTCACATGTGCTTCTCACTCACATGCGCTTCTCACTCACATGCGCTTCTCACTCACATGCGCTTCTCACTCACATGCGCTTCTCACTCACATGCGCTTCTCACTCACATGCGCTTCTCACTCACATGCGCTTCTCACTCACATGCGCTTCTCACTCACATGCGCTTCTCACTCACATGCGCTTCTCACTCACATGCGCTTCTCACTCACATGCGCTTCTCACTCACATGCGCTTCTCACTCACATGCGCTTCTCACTCACATGCGCTTCTCACTCACATGCGCTTCTCACTCACATGCGCTTCTCACTCACATGCGCTTCTCACTCACATGCGCTTCTCACTCACATGCGCTTCTCACTCACATGCGCTTCTCACTCACATGCGCTTCTCACTCACATGCTCTCCTCACCGCATGAGCCTCACCACACCTTCTTACCAACCAAGGGGTAGCAGCTGGCAGCAAGGAGGGCGAGAGTCATGGATGCTGACGCACCATGCACATGACACGTGCACCTCTCTTTCTCATTTCACCCTGCCTCTGAAGCACCACCATACCCCCTCACTAATGCTGCATCCTTTCGCCACCCTTCCCTCCCCTCCCCCTGCCCCCTTACCCCCGCATGCCCATCCCACAGGCTCAGTTCCTGCAGCGCAAGCGGCTCATCCCATTGGGCAGCAACCCTTTTCCTGGAGGCAGCACTACACGCCCTCCCCCCTGAATCTCCTTCTCCTCTTTCACCCTCGCCCCGCCTCCCCCTCCTCCGCATGCCCATCCCACAGGGGCAGTTCCTGCAGCGCAAACGGCTCATCCCAGTGGGCAACAACCCCTTCCTCGCAGCAGATGACGAGGACACTCCCACTGACGATCTGCATGCTGCCTGGGGCCCTGCTGCCCTCTGCTCTGCCACCCCATCTCCCCCCCGTGACCTTGTGGAAGCAGACCTGAGGGTACTACTCCCTCCTCCTCCCTCGGTTTATTGAGATGTCTCAAAATTTACTCTGCTTTGATGCCACTCCATCCCGCCTCCCGGTCCCACTATCCCTCTCGGCCCTCACTATCCCTCGCGCTCCCACTACCCCTCTCCCTCCCACTATCTCTCTCGCCCTCACTACCCCTCCCCCTCTCGCTATCCCTCTCGCTTCCACGACCCCTCGCCCACGCACGATCTCACTATCCGACTGTCCCTCTAAATTCCTCTCTCTGTCTCGATGCAAGCACGCTCACTCACACTCCCTTGTCACCATGTCCAATGTTCTGTTCTGCTACAGCCATCTGCGCTATTCCACTCCCTTTTCTCCTCAATTGCGCGCCTGGCCTAATCTGCCCTACCCTGCCCTCCCTGCCCCCTTTCCTCCCCGTTCCTGTCCCTCCCCCCCCGCTTCCTCCCCCTTCCTCTCCTTTCCCCACCTTTCTTCCCTCTCCCGCCCTCTTCCTCCCCCACCAGGCCATACCCCGCGTGCTGGAGTCCATAAGGGCGGACTGGGAGGACGCGCGGTCCCTCAACCGGCGCACAGCAGCAGCGCTGGTGGCCATGCTGCAGGCCAAGGCGGAGGCGGCGGTGGCGGCGGGGGAGGCGGCGGGGGGCATGAGCCGCAAGGAGATCGACGTGCTTGTCACGGGTGTTGAGACGTCGCTCTGGGTGGGCGAGCAGTTCGCTGCTGACCTGCAGAACTGTACGTACGCCTGCTTGCTTCTCCTTGCTGCTCGTCCTCGCTTCTCCTTGCCTCTCCTCTCCTTTCCCTACTTCGCATCTCCCACCTCGCCTCCCTTGCTTCACCTCTGTCCCTTCTGACCTCTGGCCTTGCACATGCTCGTCATGCATGTAGTTTGGAACTGATAGTTTACACAACTCACAGGCGATGTTGTCAGTCCATGTTCTGACTTGCCCCCGCCCCGACCAACCCTACTGACTCCCTTCGCCACCGGTCTCATGCGCGTTGACCCTCTCTCTCGCTCCCTCATCCCACCCTGTATTCGATCTTCACCAGTTTCCCCTCACCCTTCTCGTTTCTCCACGTCCCACCTCCACACCACCAAGTCCATAGCCATGACTCACAACCATCAAGTCCATAGCCATGACTCACAACCATCAAGTCCATAGCCATGACTCACAACCATCAAGTCCATAGCCATGACTCACAACCATCAAGTCCATAGCCATGACTCACAATCATCAAATCCATAGCCATGACTCACAACCATCAAGTCCATAGCCATGACTCACAACCATCAAGTCCATAGCCATGACTCACAACTATCAAGTCCATAGCCATGACTCACAACCATCAAGTCCATAGCCATGACTCACAACCATCAAGTCCATAGCCATGACTCACAACCATCAAGTCCATAGCCATGACTCACAACCATCAAGTCCATAGCCATGACTCACAACCATCAAGTCCATAGCCATGACTCACAACCATCAAGTCCATAGCCATGACTCACAACTATCAAGTCCATAGCCATGACTCACAACCATCAAGTCCATAGCCATGACTCACAACCATCAAATCCATAACCATGACTCACAACCATCAAGTCCATAGCCATGACTCACAACCATCAAGTCCATAGCCATGACTCACAACCATCAAGTCCATAGCCATGACTCACAACCATCAAGCCCATAGCCATGACTCACAACCATCAAGTCCATAGCCATGACTCACAACCACCAAGTCCATAGCCATGACTCACAACCACCAAGTCCATAGCCATGACTCACAACCACCAAGTCCATAGCCATGACTCACAACCACCAAGTCCATAGCCATGACTCACAACCATCAAGTCCATAGCCATGACTCACAACCATCAAGTCCATAGCCATGACTCACAACCATCAAGTCCATAGCCATGACTCACAACCATCAAGTCCATAGCCATGACTCACAACCATCAAGTCCATAGCCATGACTCACAACCATCAAGTCCATAGCCATGACTCACAACCATCAAGTCCATAGCCATGACTCACGACCATCAAGTCCATAGCCATGACTCACAACCACCAAGTCCATAGCCATGACTCACAACCACCAAGTCCATAGCCATGACTCACAACCACCAAGTCCATAGCCATGACTCACAACCACCAAGTCCATAGCCATGACTCACAACCATCAAGTCCATAGCCATGACTCACAACCATCAAGTCCATAGCCATGACTCACAACCATCAAGTCCATAGCCATGACTCACAACCATCAAGTCCATAGCCATGACTCACAACCATCAAGTCCATAGCCATGACTCACAACCACCAAGTCCATAGCCATGACTCACAACCACCAAGTCCATAGCTATGACTCACAACCATCAAGTCCATAGCCATGACTCACAACCACCAAGTCCATAGCCATGACTCACAACCATCAAGTCCATAGCCATGACTCACAACCATCAAGTCCATAGCCATGACTCACAACCATCAAGTCCATAGCCATGACTCACAACCATCAAGTCCATAGCCATGACTCACAACCATCAAGTCCATAGCCATGACTCACAACCACCAAGTCCATAGCCATGACTCACAACCACCAAGTCCATAGCCATGACTCACAACCACCAAGTCCATAGCCATGACTCACAACCACCAAGTCCATAGCCATGACTCACAACCACCAAGTCCATAGCCATGACTCACAACCACCAAGTCCATAGCCATGACTCACAACCATCAAGTCCATAGCCATGACTCACAACCATCAAGTCCATAGCCATGACTCACAACCATCAAGTCCATAGCCATGACTCACAACCATCAAGTCCATAGCCATGACTCACAACCATCAAGTCCATAGCCATGACTCACAACTATCAAGTCCATAGCCATGACTCACAACCATCAAGTCCATAGCCATGACTCACAACCATCAAATCCATAACCATGACTCACAACCATCAAGTCCATAGCCATGACTCACAACCATCAAGTCCATAGCCATGACTCACAACCATCAAGTCCATAGCCATGACTCACAACCATCAAGCCCATAGCCATGACTCACAACCATCAAGTCCATAGCCATGACTCACAACCACCAAGTCCATAGCCATGACTCACAACCACCAAGTCCATAGCCATGACTCACAACCACCAAGTCCATAGCCATGACTCACAACCACCAAGTCCATAGCCATGACTCACAACCATCAAGTCCATAGCCATGACTCACAACCATCAAGTCCATAGCCATGACTCACAACCATCAAGTCCATAGCCATGACTCACAACCATCAAGTCCATAGCCATGACTCACAACCATCAAGTCCATAGCCATGACTCACAACCATCAAGTCCATAGCCATGACTCACAACCATCAAGTCCATAGCCATGACTCACGACCATCAAGTCCATAGCCATGACTCACAACCACCAAGTCCATAGCCATGACTCACAACCACCAAGTCCATAGCCATGACTCACAACCACCAAGTCCATAGCCATGACTCACAACCACCAAGTCCATAGCCATGACTCACAACCATCAAGTCCATAGCCATGACTCACAACCATCAAGTCCATAGCCATGACTCACAACCATCAAGTCCATAGCCATGACTCACAACCATCAAGTCCATAGCCATGACTCACAACCATCAAGTCCATAGCCATGACTCACAACCACCAAGTCCATAGCCATGACTCACAACCACCAAGTCCATAGCTATGACTCACAACCATCAAGTCCATAGCCATGACTCACAACCACCAAGTCCATAGCCATGACTCACAACCATCAAGTCCATAGCCATGACTCACAACCATCAAGTCCATAGCCATGACTCACAACCATCAAGTCCATAGCCATGACTCACAACCATCAAGTCCATAGCCATGACTCACAACCATCAAGTCCATAGCCATGACTCACAACCACCAAGTCCATAGCCATGACTCACAACCACCAAGTCCATAGCCATGACTCACAACCACCAAGTCCATAGCCATGACTCACAACCACCAAGTCCATAGCCATGACTCACAACCACCAAGTCCATAGCCATGACTCACAACCACCAAGTCCATAGCCATGACTCACAACCATCAAGTCCATAGCCATGACTCACAACCATCAAGTCCATAGCCATGACTCACAACCATCAAGTCCATAGCCATGACTCACAACCATCAAGTCCATAGCCATGACTCACAACCATCAAGTCCATAGCCATGACTCACAACCATCAAGTCCATAGCCATGACTCACAACCATCAAGTCCATAGCCATGACTCACAACCACCAAGTCCATAGCCATGACTCACAACCATCAAGTCCATAGCCATGACTCACAACCATCAAGTCCATAGCCATGACTCACAACCATCAAGTCCATAGCCATGACTCACAACTATCAAGTCCATAGCCATGACTCACAACCATCAAGTCCATAGCCATGACTCACAACCATCAAATCCATAACCATGACTCACAACCATCAAGTCCATAGCCATGACTCACAACCATCAAGTCCATAGCCATGACTCACAACCATCAAGTCCATAGCCATGACTCACAACCATCAAGCCCATAGCCATGACTCACAACCATCAAGTCCATAGCCATGACTCACAACCACCAAGTCCATAGCCATGACTCACAACCACCAAGTCCATAGCCATGACTCACAACCACCAAGTCCATAGCCATGACTCACAACCACCAAGTCCATAGCCATGACTCACAACCATCAAGTCCATAGCCATGACTCACAACCATCAAGTCCATAGCCATGACTCACAACCATCAAGTCCATAGCCATGACTCACAACCATCAAGTCCATAGCCATGACTCACAACCATCAAGTCCATAGCCATGACTCACAACCATCAAGTCCATAGCCATGACTCACAACCATCAAGTCCATAGCCATGACTCACGACCATCAAGTCCATAGCCATGACTCACAACCACCAAGTCCATAGCCATGACTCACAACCACCAAGTCCATAGCCATGACTCACAACCACCAAGTCCATAGCCATGACTCACAACCACCAAGTCCATAGCCATGACTCACAACCATCAAGTCCATAGCCATGACTCACAACCATCAAGTCCATAGCCATGACTCACAACCATCAAGTCCATAGCCATGACTCACAACCATCAAGTCCATAGCCATGACTCACAACCATCAAGTCCATAGCCATGACTCACAACCACCAAGTCCATAGCCATGACTCACAACCACCAAGTCCATAGCTATGACTCACAACCATCAAGTCCATAGCCATGACTCACAACCACCAAGTCCATAGCCATGACTCACAACCATCAAGTCCATAGCCATGACTCACAACCATCAAGTCCATAGCCATGACTCACAACCATCAAGTCCATAGCCATGACTCACAACCATCAAGTCCATAGCCATGACTCACAACCATCAAGTCCATAGCCATGACTCACAACCACCAAGTCCATAGCCATGACTCACAACCACCAAGTCCATAGCCATGACTCACAACCACCAAGTCCATAGCCATGACTCACAACCACCAAGTCCATAGCCATGACTCACAACCACCAAGTCCATAGCCATGACTCACAACCATCAAGTCCATAGCCATGACTCACAACCATCAAGTCCATAGCCATGACTCACAACCATCAAGTCCATAGCCATGACTCACAACCATCAAGTCCATAGCCATGACTCACAACCATCAAGTCCATAGCCATGACTCACAACCATCAAGTCCATAGCCATGACTCACAACCATCAAGTCCATAGCCATGACTCACGACCATCAAGTCCATAGCCATGACTCACAACC